TATTTTTCAGATTCAGCTTCCTTTTTTTCCCCTTCTTTACCCCTTCCATCTTCACTAGCATTACCACCAAGCTTTAATCTGTAGATATTTAGTTGACTCTATGCTATTTTGTTGAAATCTTATCTACTGTCAATTGCGGTATAGTCATTGTATTAGTAGGTACTTAATGTATGTCAAACTGTGGTTTGTTTCTGTGTCTATATTTTAGTTAATAGTTCTCTTTTAGATCATTAAGGGTGGTATAGCAGTAGCTTTTATTGGTTCTTATGGTATGTCAGTATCCACTTTGTCTTCAACTCTATTATTGCTGATTTCATTGCTACTGCCAGGATAGCATAGTTTTTGCTAGGGGAAAGAGACAAAAAGAATTGAGATGTGTTATGTATGTGTACCAATCTCCCATAATAAAAAGAACTGAGATGTGTTATGTATATGTAGCAATCTCCCATGGTAACTGTAATCATTATACACTGCAAACATACTGATAAAAGTAATTTAAAAACTAGTATGTGGAACTGATATACAAGGATAGAAAAACAGACCAAAGAATGAAAACATACAATTACAAACACTTAAGAAACACAGGAATAATATAGGTCAATGAGGAAAAGGACAATTTCTCAACAAATAATATGCAATAAGCAAAACTATAAAGCTTTCAGAAGATAATATAGAAGAATTCCTTCAGGATCTCAAGAGAGTAGCAGGATTAATAAGATATGAAATGTACCTCTTTACCAATAAAGCCACAATTGATCGATTTGAATACATTAAAGTACAAAGTAATGTTCAATGAATGATACCATAAAGCCTCAAAAAGACAAGTTACAGCCTGACAGAAGATATTGGCAAAATATAGTGCCAAAGACTAGCACACAAAATATATAAAGATGCCCTAAATCATCATTGGAAAAAAAAAGAAATTTCAAAAAAAATTGCAAAACTCTTGAATGGGCATTTCATTATAAATAGGAAATCAAATAGCTAAAAACATAGGTAAAGTGTTCAATTTTATTAGTAATCAGCGTAAATAAAAATCAAAACAAAACAATATAACAATACCAAGTGCTAAGTAAGATACAGAACAAAAAGAACCCTCATACTTTACTGGCAATGTAAATCATTACATCTACTTTGGGTTTTTTTTTTGTTTGTTATTTTAAAAATAAAAGAAGGAAAACATATCAACAGACAGACATCCATTTACAAAATAGCATAAGAACAATACAAACAAAACAGTTACAAACAAAGTTGTAGGAAGTTAACCATGGTTGTTGTATTACTTATTGATATCTTCAAAGTGGTTTCTCAGGAAAACAAATAGAGACATACAAGATTGATCAAACAACTAATCATTAACTATTACATCTACTTTGAAAACATCAGACATTACTTACATTACTAGTATGTGGAACTGATATACAAAGATAGAAAAATAGACCAAAGAAAGAAAACATAGAACTACAAACAACAAATGCAGAAATAACATAGGTCAATGAGAAAAAGTAGTAGAATATGAACATATCCTAAGACCTAGCAATTTGCCTAATAATATGCTCAAAGAAAGTCTTGCATCTGTGCATCAAGAGTTAAACACAAAACATTCTTTTCCATAGTAGAATTATCCAAAGACTTGAATCTATTCTAAGTTCATGAACAACAGAGCGCGTTTGCTTTTATATTGTGATTTGCCCTTGCAATGGAGAACTATTCAGTAGTAAAAATGAACAAATCCTAACTACAATCCCTCTGGATAAATCTAACAATGCTGAGATAAAAGCAAACTACAAATATATATAAAGTATCATTCAATTTATATAAAATACAAGAACAAGTCAAAGTGACTATACACAGACACATTATATAGATAGATATTATATTTTAGGGGACAGATATATAGTAAACTATAAACAAAAGCTAGAAAAAATGGTTATCCCAAATGACAGCATAAGAATTACCTCTGCTAGCAAATGAGAGGGGTAGAATCATGCATGGCTTATATAGGAGGCTTTTAGAATACTAAAAATGATTCATTTTCTAATTTGAGAGTGGTTTTTGACATTATTCCTTGAACTGTGCATGTATTTTTAATACAATCTTCTGCTAAGTCTGATATATTTTACAATAAAATAAAACAGAGACTTGAATCTCTTCAGTGCATGCATTAAGATTCACACCTCCTACATATGGTTTCTACGTTTTTGTCTGAATTTTGGGCAAGGGCTGGATCTAGCACTGAATTTAATAAAAAGAAAGGAATAAAGGACTGAAAGGTGCAACAAAAGAAGGAAGGAGCGTAAGGGTGTGAAAAGGATAAAAAGAAACAAGATTCTTAAGACAATTTGTACAAGTTCCTTTAGGTTTTCCTAAATAGCTCCAAAGCAGAGAATCACATTTCCAGCACTTCTAACTTGTGGTCATGCTAGGGGTCTTCAAAATACCCATAGGCTTTGAAGTAAGAACTGCAGGCTTCTAATAGCTTAAGAATACTATGATCAGATTAGTCACTTGACGACCATTTACAAGCCAGCATGGACTCTTTATGAAATGCTAATAAGACAGACTTCAACATAAATATGATACTGCAAAAAATTATGGGAGCAATTTAACAGACAGCCAAAAAGAAAAACAATACTCAGTCTAAAGAAAATATAGAAATACACTGTATATTTGCCAGTGTTAAACATCAGTAAATAGATATTAACCGCTAGAAAGGTGACAGAATCTATTTATCATTTCCTTACATAATCATTTATGCCAACACAAATTATATGCAGCAAACTCCTCTTATATAGCAGACTTGGGCAACAAACAGAAAAGTAGCTAAATTCATCAAAATGATTATATAACCTCTCTTGTTTTATGATTTTTGTTTTGTTTTATTTTTGTTTTTTAAGACACAACCTCACTGCGTAGCCCAGATGGGCTGCTCACTCACAGTCTTGTCTCAGCTCCCGAATTCTGGGATTACAGGCATGTGCTGTCATGCCTGGCCTATCTCATGGTTTTTATAAAGTATTTGCTGTTAAAAACGAGGTGGCACTATAATCTTGAAAGTAGAATTCACCTATTAAACACACAACTAAAGGTAATCATGTCCACTTTTATAGGTTTTCTATATACCTATTTTAAAGTAACTTATGAGGTTATAATTTATGCCTTTTATGCATGTTTTAGCTTTTATTTTACAGATTATTACAGTTTTATAGTTAATATCTTCATAGCTGCCTTTTGAGCAGATGACAATACTTTATAAGCCATAAGCATTGGGCATCTAAGTTGTTCTCAAATTTTCAATGTTTCCGTGAACATGAATACCTATATATTTTTATTTTTTATAAAAATTATCATTAGATAAATTTCTAAATTGAAAGATTCAGAAGTTTTACAGATCACTGTTTGTAGTTAAACAGTGCCACAGTAGAATGAAGACAGTCTCAGCAGTCATAAACCCTTGGCATACCTCGCCTTGTATTAGTGCTGCATATTAACTGAAATTCATGTACTTGGTAGTTAAAGAGATGTTTACTCATACTTTAGAATGTACTGAGCCAAAAAAGCATACAGAATGTCTCATTCTGAAAACAAAGGCAACTCAGAGTACAAATATCTAGATCAATGTACATAAAACTTCTCAGTTGAACAATATTAGTGACAGAAGATTTATTTGATTAATATGATGAATAATAAAGGAATTCCAGAATCAAGAGATAAACATTTCTTCAATACAACAATAGAGAAATGGACCAAAAATTGATTGCAGTCCAGTCTCTACCCTCAACAACAGCAAATAGCTAAACAAATGCTATTTCTGTTCATCTGTGAGGCAAACTACAAGCCACACACCACACAAATTCTCCATGTAAGTAAGACAATGCAGTGGACGCCTTCTGGCCATTCTAGAAGTCGTTTGATGAATCTTAGTACCATCTTTCACTATCCCATCTAGTCTAACAATTATGTGAGTCCTACAATGGTAAGATGCCTAAGTTTGGATTCCACATCAAAGGAACCCAAGAGACTAAGAAGCTCTGTCTTACGAAGTATATTATCTCTAGAATATAGCATGGGGGAAGTGGAATAATAGGTCTCTATTTTATTTTTAATTTTAACCATTACACTCCAATAAATGAACATCTGCTTTTAAAACATTAATAATAAGATTACTTCTTTGTGTTAGTCTTGTCCAAATAAGAGATTGTCCAAAGACTTTCCAAAAGGACTGTAACAATTCTGTGGCTAATATAAGGAGTGATGAAAATATGCAGGAAATGCTTAAATTTTAAAATATGTATTACAGTAAAGACACATCAGCATTAATCTCCTTCAGACTGCCCCCCTCACTTTGACCACATTCATTCCATTGTTTTTCTTAAGCGGTTCTGGAGCCCTCTTTTACGAGTGTCTTTATGAGGTGCAATAAAAAATACAGAGAATGCTACTGCTGTCATCCAACAGAAAGGCAAGCTCATAAAAACACTGTGTCCTCAGCCACCTTACTGACTGGATCTGGTACCAAGTGACTCCTGGCTTTTCCCCAATGTCAAAATGAGCATGAAAGCTAAGCGTTTTGAATCAATTCAGGACAGCAAGGCGGCCATGACAGCACAACTCAAGACATGATAAAGGACTGCCGGAACTGTTTCAGAAAATGGAATAAACATGTTCAAAGAGAGAAGGGGCACTCTGAAGAGGATTCAGGGCAATGTGCCTTAAAAATTTAAACATTCACCATATTTTTAATCATACTGTGTATGTGACTTACCAATTTCATAACAGCCCCTCCAAACATACAGAATTTCTTTTTTTTTTTTTTTTTTTGGTTTTTCTCCGGTACCAGGAACTGAACTCATGACCTTGCGCTTGCCAGGCAGGCGCTTTGCCGCTGAGCTAAATCCCCAGCCCCACATACAGAATTTCTATCCTTAAAAAGGAAAAAGTGTTCTGCGTGAATATTTATCCTCTAACCATGACAGTGAAGAAGTAATTAGAGGACTCACCATCCGCTGCAGATTTCAGTAAAACCTCAGGCTGATCTTCATCTAAACGTTTCTCTAGGCTCTTCAAGGTAGATAATAGGTCTTTCACTTCAACTTTTCCATCAGAGACATTATTAACAATGTTTGACACATCTTCTATTCCTATGGATAGATATTGATGACAAAATAAGAAAGCACTTGGTGTTTGATCTGTCTAGATGAGCACATAACAAAATGATTCAAGTGCAATGTATTCACTTTTGGCCATATTCCCAAAACTGTTACACAGATTTAATGCAAACCTGATCAAAATACTATTAGTATACATCACAGATCTAGAGAAAACATTCCTAAAATTCATTTGGAACCAAAAGAGAACTTAAATAGCAAAGGCGATCCTGGGCAACAAAGGCAAGGCAGGAGGCATCACAATCCCTGGCTTGAAATTATACTACAAAGCTACTGTGATAAAATCAGCATGATACTGGCAAAAAAACACACCTGAGGATCACTAGAACAGAATAGAAGATGCAGACACAACTACAAACACACTCAGCCACCTTATCTTTGACAAAGGGGCCAAACATGTTCACTGGAAGGAAGATAGTCACTTTAATAAATGGTGCTGGGAAAACTAGCTTTTCACATGTCAAAGACTAAAACTAGACCCATGTCTATCACTGTGCATTTAACGAAAGTCAAAATGGATCAAAGATCTAAATATTAAAACAAACACTAAATCTAGTGGAAGAGAAGCTAGGTAGAAATCTTGAAGACATAGAGGTAGGCAGAGACTTCATGAACATAACCCAAACTGCAGAGGAAGTACTTCAAAGAATCAACAACTGGGATCCCATTTTATTAAAAAGTTCTTGCACAGGAAAAGAAATCACCAATAGAGTGAAAAGAAAACCCACAGCGTGGGAAAAATTTTAGCTAACTGTCCCTCAAAGGACTTTTATGTAGAACAGGTAAACAACTGAATAAAATCAGGCCCCTCAAATTCAAAGACCCAAACCAAAAATAGGCATCTGAGATAATACAAGCTGCTCAGATAATGAAATACAAATGACAAATAAATATATGAAAAAGTGTTCAACTTCACTGGTCATTTGAGAAATGCAAATTTAAAAAACACTGAAATTCCATTTCACCCCACAAAGAACGGATATCATTAAGAAATCAACCAACAATAAATTTTGTCAGGGCTGTGGGGGAAAAGGACCCCTTCTCCACAGTTGGTGGCAATGTAGACTGGTACAACCACTGTGGAAATTAGTGTGGAGATTCCTTTAAAAAACTAGGATTAGAGGTCCCATTCCACCCAGCTATTCCCCTTCTGGGTAATTTCCCAGAAGAATTAAAAACATCATACCACAGTGATATATGTGCACTCATGCTTGTAGCAGCACAATTTGTAATAGCTAAATTTTGGAAACAATCCAAATGCCCAACAACTAAGGAATGGATAAAAAAAGATGTGGTATTTTTATATAATGGAGTACTACTCAGCTTTAAAGAAGTATAAACTTGTGGCTTTTATAGGCAAATAGATGCAACTAGAGACCATACTCATAAGTGAAATAAATCAGACTCATATATATGAACATCATATTCTCTCCCTAGTGTAAGAAATTAAAAGAGTGAATGAGATTCAAAATGTACAATAAATACTGTGAAAGAGGAAGAAATTGCTGAAAGGAAAAAGCAACTGGGATGCAGGAAAGGAGAAAAGAAGGAAGGGAAAAGAAAATATATATATATATATACACATAAGATAGGTAAGATGACTATACTACTAATTTCTATTAGTTCTTTGAAAGGAATGTTTTGTGTATATATTGTTTGATCAATTTTGCATGCCTACATCTTGTAATCTGAGCAACTACTTTGAAGATAAGAACATGCAGTATAACAACCATTGTTAATTTCCTATTATCTTGTTTTGAAATTCTGTATCATTGTTTTTATTGCTCTTTTCTCTATAAAATAAAAAAGAAATGTATTCATTCTCTAGAATGTCCAATACATTTTACCTCTCTGAAATATCTTTAAACCAAAAGCTCCACAAAATTTATAGGCTTAAATGCTTAGATTAGAAACAAGAAACACTGAAATATTTTAGCTTAATTGTTAACTCATAAAGCTAACCAACAAAACATCAAAATGACCTCAAAGAAAACAGCATCATGATTTTTTAAAATCCTTTTTAAATTGGAAAAGTAGCCCTGTTGTTCTTATCCATAAGGTTGGCAAGAATAAGAGTGTTATTAACAATATGGCAATAAACAGATGTCTCAGGGCTGGGGATTTAGCTTAGCGGCATAGCTCCTGCCTGGCAAGCGCAGGTTGTGAGCTCGATTCCGGTACCGGAAAAAAATAAAAATAAAAATAAAAAAATAAACAGATGTCTCAATAACTTAATTTTCATTATTACTCAGCTGTGTTTTAAAGATCTGTATCCAGAGTTTTGACAGTTTTATTAATATGGGCTCTATTTATTTCCTTTACCAGGAAAAAAAATCCCTTTTTCTATTTTTTATTTTGAAATAGGGTCACACTAGTCACTAAGTTGCTCAGGTTATGCTCAAACTGCAGTCCTTCTGCCCAGTCTCCCAGAGTGCTGAGATTACGGGCTTACACCACTACTCCCAGCTAGGAAAAAAATCTTCAAATAAAGAACAACGTAAAGTGTTACTGAACTCTGAGATAGTTATATATTCAGTCTTTTTAAAGATCCAACTTTTGGTTAAAGGAATAATTTCTTTTAGAGAGTATATGTTCCACTTCAGTAACTTCTGCTCTCAAATTTCTTAGCTCCTGATCACTACTTTTCGATGGGATTATTTTATTATTTAGGTATTTATGCAGCTAGTTAGCTTTTTGCATTCAACGTTTAAGTTGAAATATTCTTGATATTTTTCATTTTCTACAAAAAGTACAGAAAGCATTTCCTATGAGACTGCTTTGGTCACATTGTACATGTTTTAGTATGTAGTGCTCTCATTGGCATTCATTTCTAAATAATTTTTAATTTCAGACTTTATTTTTCAACCCAAGAATTATTTTGAAGAACATCTGCTATTAATCTTGAGAGCAAAAGTTTTTCCATATTTTTTCATAAGTAATTTCAGCGTTACTATATGGTAGTCAGAATATGTGGACTGAAAAACTTCTGACTTTCAGAATTCAGTGAAATTATGCTTTGAAATGCAAATAGATCACATATGTTTGTGAATGTTTCATAGGCATTTTTAAAAAAAGTATGTGTAATGTTTCTGATCTATATAATTCTTAAATCAAGTTTATTAATGTTGCCCTTTAAACCTCAATCTCTTTTCCCTTTTTCTCTGTGTATACATCCTGCTTTATGTCATCTACTTTGTCAGTTTAGTATTTTCTTACTATTAAACATTTCAAGTGCACAGAATTGAGTTGCTCTTTAATTCATGGTGTATTATCATCACTAAACAAGACCCTGCTTAATTTTCTCTTTTCACTTTTCTCCTTTAACCTTTGTCTCCAGTTCTATTCTTCTACCTTTTATTTATTTCTCTTCAGTCTGTCTCATTTGACTATTTAATGTGTTTACCTGAAAAAATATGGTGGCACCTTATGTGCATTAGAATAATCTAACTTGTATAAAATATTTATGCTATAAATTTATGCTATTTCTTCACTGAACTGTACATTGCTGAAACCTATATATAGTGCAGATATAAATCTAGTTTATTGCTTCTGACCATATTTTACAAAACCATGCCCATAAGGACAGATAGCCAGGTTACTATCATTTATTTTCTCCTACAAGAAAATGTTGCAATAATCATCCCTGTATGCATCTCTACAAAAAAATGTTCTGGCCTACTTACCTAAGAATAGGATTATTGAGTCATAAGAAATATGCATAGTTTCAATAACTGTGCTATTTAAAATGATAATACCATTTTATTCATCCACCAGCAATTTGTGAGTATTATTACTGATATTTATATACATATTAGCTATTTGTTTCTCCTTCCCTATAATGATATCTTAAATCATTATTCATTTTTCTATTTTTTCTACCAATATTTCCTTTATATTTGAAATAGCAATGCTTTATTCTAAAAGTTATAATTATCTTCTTTCAGTCTTCATGTATATGGTAATTTTTTGGAGTAATTCATTGAACAGAAAATTTTAATTTTGACATAATCAAATATTCTTTTAACCTCTGGTTATACTTTAGGAAGTCATATTTAAGAAAATGTTCACAATCACAGGGCAAAATATTTTCACCAATATTTTCTTCCACCAGATCTATGGTTTTGCCTTTTAGGCTCATTTTAACATCTACTAATTAACTTGAAGATTATTTTGTATATATGATATGAAGTAGGGATTCAACTTTATTCTTTTACATGAATCAATTTTTAAAATCATGTACTAAATAATAGATCTCTTCCTCAGTGGCTATATTATTTTCATCAATAGCCAAATTCCCATATATGAGAATTTCTGCAGGTTCTATATTCTATATTGTAATGCACTGTTCTATTATAATAGCATTATAATATGTCCTTACATGTGCAAAGGCAAGTTCGCCAGCATGGTTCTTTTTTACAAATGTTTTTAACTATTCATAGACCACTAGTCTTTCAAATCACTGCAGAATTATTTTGTCCCACAAAAATTTTCCCGAGACACGGATTAGAATTGCATTCATTTATTTTAAAATGTACTTTTTAAACAATGATTTAAAATCCCTGTCTTAGGGATTTTAATCCCAATTCTCAATCTCAGTGTCTATAATCCACAGTTTTTATAATGTCTTATTGTGCTAAAATGTCAAAACAGACTCCAAAGTGTTTCAGTTAACAATTAACTAACGTTCCTGACACAGAACCAGAGAGTAAACCCAAATTAATGAGAAACAATGAATGAGAAAGAAAACAGAAACATAAAAGGGCAAAAACCAATAGAAGTGATTGCACTATGATGGCCTACGTCAAGCTGTCCCCCAGAGGCCTCACGCAGCCATGGCCAGGGCTTTTGACAGCTGATTAACCACGGGGCACCATAGCTGATTTGCCCTTAGGAGCTGGGGCCTGAGGAAGTCACCGCGGTGTGAGCGGGGAGAGCACATATCCTCGCTGGCTCCTTCCTTCTCCCTCTGCTTCCTGACCATGATGACGTCAACAGTGTTGTTTTTTGATTTTTGAGGGTTTTCTGCCAAATCCTTCCACCATCATCGCTTCTCAACATTCTGGCTAAGGTGAGGTGGAACTCTTTCCACCGTGGCTTTCTGCTTCAGAGCCGGCCGACTATGGACTAAAACATGAGCCAAAATAACCCTCTCCTCCTTTATGCTGCATCAAGTACTTTGTCCCAGCAATGAGAAAAGAGACTAAGACAGTGACTAAAGAAACCAAAAGCTGATTACTTTGATAACAAGACAGATGAATCACGGTAAGATTTTTAGAGAATGCAAGCTAGCTGCACATGGTGGTAAGCGCCTGTAACACCACCACTTTAGGAGGCTGAGAAAGGAGGAAGGCAAGTCTGAGTTCTTCCTGGACAACTTAGTAAGACCCTGTCTCAAAAGAGCCTGGAGATAGAGCTTAGTGATAGAGTATCCCTGACTCTATTCCCAGTATTACAAAGAAAAACAAAAATACAACTAGCAGAATGCGTGAAAAGGAAGAAGTAAATTCAAAAATAACAATTCTAGAATATTATGAAAATATGTTCATAAAGTTTAAAGCTTAGGTTTGAAATCCATATTCCTATTACATTTAACTGAGAGAGTGAGGAAGAAGGCTTGCTGGGTTCTATTTAAAGTTATACCCCTTCGCATACTAATCTACAAACGTGAATTTTCTCTTTATATTCATTTCAAATTTCATACTTACTTTGACACTCAATAAATTCATCATTGTTAGTCAGTTCTCTGATGAAATCTTTAAAAGGTACCACTTCATCTTTTTTACAAAAAAAGAAGAAACAAATTAGATAAACTCATTCAAAAGACCATCTGATGTTATATAGTCAGTTATAAAACACAAAAATAAAGTGCCAGATGGAAAACAATCTTGTGATGAACATGACGTGCATATTAGGCCTAAAATAAAAGCTATCAGAAATATTACTTTAAAAATAAATTACTTTGGGTTTTTTTATTCTCTTTAAAAAAAAAATTCCTTCACTACAAATACAAAAGTTTTAAAAAGTAAGAAAAAACAGCTTTAAATTTTTGAGAAAGAGAGAGAGAGTTTGATTGCATCTCCCTGGGCATTGAGGGTGAACCTTTTAAAATACTGAGTTTGTTGGATTAAAGTGAAATAATTACTCACCATTAGGATTAGTATTATCCAAAGTCGTCTGTATTTTTTCATCTGTTAGGTGGATTCCTATAGCATTTAAATTTTGCTGAATGTCAGAAATAGCTGTAAGATCATCTTTGTGAATGTCAAAGTTGTAGAATTTATCTTTGCCTCCTGGGAAGGAAGAGATAATCCCTTTTAGAGAACCACAGAAAATTAAGAATAACAGAGTATTTACTCAACCTAAAACAAGTATTTGAAAACTAAAGCTAACGTCA